CAAGGTTACTAAACGCGATGCTTATCCACTGCCATATATTTTCTCAATCCTAGACAAACTTAGAGATGCTAGGTACCTAACTTCCCTGGATCTTAAATCTGCTTACTGGCAACTGATGCTGGAGGATAGTGCTCGCCCTCTAACTGCTTTTACTGTGCCTAATGGTTGTCTTTTTCAATTTGTTAGGATGCCGTATGGGCTTCACAACGCGCCTCCCACATTCCAGCGTTTTATTGATAAGGTATTGGGACCTAAGTTGGAACCTTTTGTATTTGTTTATCTTGATGATATCATCATTATAGCACCCACATTTGGAAAACACATGGAACTACTCAAGGAAGTTTTGAAAAGGTTGAAGGCTGCAGGGTTGACCTTGAACAAAGAGAAATGTCAGTTTGTCGCCCTAAGTTAAATTATTTGGGCTTTGTCGTGGATCAAAATGGGCTACATGTCGATCCAGAAAAAGTAAGCGCTATAATGAAGATTCCTACCCCTAGAAATGTGGGCGATGTTCGTAGTTTTATTGGTCTGGCTGGATGGTATCGGAGATTTGTTGAAAATTTTTCTTCTGTTATAGCCCCTTTGAGTGATTTGTTGCGTAGGAAAAATAAGTTTTCTTGGGGAAAGGAACAGGAAAATGCCTTCCAACTCATCAAGGAAAAATTAGTAACTGCCCCCATTTTGGCTGTACCCAATTTTGACTTGCCTTTTTGCGTCCAAACTGATGCATCTGTATTTGGGATTATAGCTGTTTTATCCCAGGTCTATCCAGATGGTGAACGAGTAATTGCGTACCTTTCTAGATCATTGAGCAAAGCAGAGAGATTTTACTCTACGACAGAACGTGAGTGTCTTTCTGTAGTGTGGGCTGTGAAGAAATTAAGGCCATACATCGAGGCTTCACGGTGGTTACCGATCACTACTCGCTGGGGTGGTTAAATAATTTGAAGAATCCCAGTTTGTAGATTAGCTCGTTGGGCTTTACGACTCCAACAGTTTGATTTCGACATAGTGCACCGCAAAGGTAAAGACCATTTGGTCCCAGATGCGCTCAGTAGATCTGTCCCAATCGTTGATCTGGTAGATATTTCTCCTGAGGATGTTGGTAAAGATAAGTGGTATGTAAAAAAGTTTGAATAGTGTGTCTGAGACTCCAAAAAAGTTCCCTCTCTGGAGAGTGCAGGATGGTTTGTTGTATCGTCATTTTGTTAGTCCATATCCCAAGTTGACTGGTGATGTGGAATCTTGGAAATTGGTAGTGCCGAAATTTGAACGTTCCAAGGTTATGAGTAGCTGTCATGATGAACCAACATGTGGTCACTGTGGAATTTCTAAGACCTATCACAAAGTTTCGGAAAGATACTTTTGGCCAAAGATGAAGGCAGACATAATAGCCTATATCCGACGTTGCAAGATATGTTTGACTTCCAAACCAGAGCAGAAGAAGCCTCAAGGTCATATGACCCCTCATACTAAGGTAACGACTCCTTGGGAACTCACATCTTGCGATCTTGTAGGGCCGCTTCAAAATAATAAAAAGCGGGTAGTATGGAATGCTAAAGATTTACGTTCAGTCCCAAATGAGTCAGATGTTAGTTAAGGACTTGGAAATTTAATGTGTCCCTTGTCTTATTTTTTTTTAGTTTTGTGTTTTGTGAAAATTTTGGAAAAATTTTCTGGAGGTTGGGGTGGAGTTTGTAACGTGCAAATTTCGCCTCCCTTAAATTTTTTGGATTTTTGATATTAATTGTCTTTATTTTGTATACGTTTCTTTAATAGGTCTGTGTTTTAAGAAAAGCTGCATATTTAATTGTTTACTTTACTGTCAAAAGACTTTTGATCAGCTGTTCGGTTGGTAACCCCACTTGCAGTAGTACCAACGTGATTTTAAATATTCAAAATAAAGTTAAGGGGATTAGGCATTCTATTTATTTCTTTATTTCTTAATAATAAATTAATGACAGTGTTATTTTCATGTACAATATTTAACTTTTAGATCGGTTATAGAAATAAATTGAATTCTCCATTGGTTTCGTCAGATTTTAACAGTGTATTCCTTCAAGTCTTATCATTGTCAGTTTTAAATAATGCGCCAAAAATTTTCTTAAAAAAAAAAAGAGTCACTTTAATTGCGGTGATACTCACTCGATATCCGGTTCAACAAGTGGTTGGTTAAGCTTAGGGGTTTGATTTACAAAAACTTTCATCTTTAAATATTTGTGGTAATATTACCCATCCTTTTGGAAAAATTAGATGAAATATAGGTATAACAATAATTGTTGCTTTAAATAAGTAAAGCAAGGCGCTATAGCGCGCTATGTTATAAATTATGATCTTTAATATTTTCATGTATACCAATGGACGTATGCTCGTGAACGTCTGTATGAACATAGGACGTCCCATGGACATCCGTTTAGAGTCCAGATGTCACAACTTTGGACATCCATAAGTCGTCCACCGATGGACGTCTATAAGGTGTTTGAACCATTCCTCCAGCATCCAGGACCTGCTTTTTTGCTTACTTTAACTGTTTTTTGCGACTGTATTTTCATTGCGGTGTTGCAGAAAATTTTCTACAACATGACTGAAATTCCTTTTGTCTGGCTCAGTAACAATCCCACTAGGAATATAAATATTCCAAAAGTTGTTAAAAGTTACAACATTCAATGTTGAATATTGCAGGAAATGCTTGTATTCGACTCAGGAACATTACATTTGCAATACTACAAGTGTTCAACATATGTTGAAAATATTTCATTTAATTCAAGAAAATAATCATCTTAAGATGCAAAATAACACTTTGAATAAACTAATTAAACAATTGAAAAATGTTAACAAATTACAAGAGGAAAAAATTACAAATATGGAGCTCTTATTATCTGCTAGCAATAAAACCAAATGTATTAATAGTTTAACTACCGATATACAGGTGCCACTATACAGTGATATATCAAAGAAATCCAAGCAAGAAAACACATTTTTTATACTCCCTACGCATAAAAACCAAAACATAAATACCAATAACGTAATGAATTTGATAAAACCAGGAGATTTAAATGTACAAGTGAATAATATTAAAAATATAACAAAAGGTGGTGTAGTGGTAAACTGTAATGATAAAGAAAGTTTAGAAAAATTAAAGCAAAATTTGGAAGCAAACTCTAATTTCAAAATTCAACTACCACGTAAGTTTTTACCTAGGCTAAGAATTGGAGGAATACTAGTAAATGATCTTAGTGAGAACGACCATGATAATGTTTCTGAACTAATAAATAGAAATGATTTAAAAGTATATAAAAATGATATAAAGTTAATTTATAAAGAAAAACCCAAAATAAATCAAACAAATACTAATTTAATAGTTGAAGTATCACCAGATTTAAGAAAACTTATTTTAAAGAAAGACGGACTTTATTTTGGCTGGCGAAAATGTTCTGTTAAAGACTCTTTTTATGTAAAAAAGTGTTTTAACTGTTTGGAATATGGGCATAATTCTAAAGAATGCAACAAATCCGAACCTGTTTGTAAAAATTGTGGAAGTATTCATGAAAGCAATTTAAATTGCGAAAAATTAAACTGCGTCAACTGTGTTAATAATAACCGATTGTTTAAAACAAATTATGATATCAAACATAGTGCAAATGATAAAAACTGTTTAAGTTACTTGAATATTATAGAAAGTATTAAAGCTAAGACTATTTTTGATTGATTTTTTATTTTTAGGTTGTACATTAATAAGGTGGAAAGGGTACAAAAATCTTGCCTTCGATTTATATATGGCATCAGGCGCAGTTTTCCAGTGTCTCATAAGTTAAAGGACGCAAATTGGCTTAACATGTCAAAACGAAGGCTTCTTCATAGTCTCTGTCTTTTTCACAACATAGTAAAAAACAAAACACCACAATATTTAAGTAACAAAATTAGATTTAGACATGACGTACACAATTTAGGCCTTCGTTTTAAGGGACTTATATCTCCTCCTCCTCATAAAACAACTTTTTTTAAAAGATCATTTAGCTACAATATATACATTGAATATAATAAGTTACCCAAGGAATTAAAGCTTCTAAATGAAGTACAATTTAAAAGGAGGTGCAAATCAATGTTATTGCTTAGCCATTTGTGATTGATGCGTTTTGTTGTGTTTGTTATTTTTTATTTTATTATTTTATTTTTTTTTATTATAGTAGTGTATCTAGGAAATATAGGGTCATGTAAAGTGGTGTAGGATAGGTTAGGTTAGTGGTCTATGTTTAGTTAGGTTAGGTTAGGTTAGGTTAGGTTGGGTTAGGATGAATTAGGTTTAGTTTTAAATGGTTGAAGCTTTGATCAGCAATCCATAAAATGGGTATGTTGCTCTTCAATCATTATTTGCAAATGTTTGAATCTCTTTAAGTTGTTAATTTTATTTTTAGTATTTAATTTTTTTTTTTTACTGTACTAGATATAAATGTAATTGTGGCATCTAATCTTTGCTGTAAACAGTTGCAAATAAAATTATTATTATTATTATTATTATTATTATTATAGCTAAAGTCTTTTATAGCACGCGCTTGCTTGAATGTCAGTGAAATTTATCATAATTGTTGTTATGCAGCCAACAATACGTTTTAACTTGCATTTCTGTAATATTAATTATGGACGTAAAATGGACACTATATGGACGTCCATTAAAATACAAAGGATGTAAATATATGGGCGTACATAGTACATCCATTTTTAGTCCGTGGACCAATGTACTTAAAATGGATCTTAAACGGACGTCCATTGGACGAATGGTGCTATCTGGGTAAAAATATACTTACTATAACTTTTAATACTTTAAACAAGTAAAGTACTAACCACATCAATGTACTGTTGATTAAAGATCGATTATACATTAAAATACCTTTGGATCTATAGTATTTTTATCGCTACAAATAAACCATGACAATTATAAAATAAGTTAATGTCTAATTCTAAAATAAGTTATTGTCAAATAACAATTCTAAAATAAGTTAATGTCAAATTTTAAGGTTAGAATTATCATGGCTAAAAGGTATGGCTTCTTTTCGCCATGCCTATAAGATGGCTTTACATGGACATCTTTTGGACAACTTTTTATAATATGTCTTCAAATACACATCTTTTAAACGAATTTAAGTTGTCTTTTTGCCATAACTAAAAGATGACTTAAATAAGTAATCTTTTAGATGTCTTTTCGTTTTATGTGCTGTATGGAGAGTAATTTTTTAACAAGTTCAGTCTTAAAAACCCTTGACCTATACATTTTGTTTAAAACGATATAAATTAAACATTTTAGCCAGGTTTTTTATTTGGCGCCACTGCACATGTGCACGGTTTTTGATTTAGCTGTTTTTAGAAATCTATAAATTTACTAAAAATAATCGCAAACGCATACAATTATTTTTTAATGTTTCAGATTGACATGTTTGTTATAAAAATGATGACCGACAATGAATTGATGAAATATATTCCCGCATATGGAGACAGACTCGCTATACGATATTTTTGTAGAGGAACTTTGCTCAAGTTAAAACTGCTTGTGGTGGAGGCACCCGTAAAATTCAGGTTAAAAAAACCGCTTCTAAAGAAGATCTTATTAAATTAGGAATTGAACTATTTTTTCCTGATGGTCAATCTTCTAAAGGAAAATTAACAAACTTTAATATAGATTTAGCAGATTTTAAACGAGATATTATCCCAAAAGAAGTTACCATTGAAGAATTGTTTCAAAAATCCAAGTTGTCTCGATTAAGAGTTTATCTGTATACAAAAGAAAAATGCAGTACAATCAATTCTACTGAAACAACATCTCAAACTTTTACTCTTGAAGACAGTAATTCCAGTGAAGATTTATACAAAGGTTTAATAATAGATAATTTGAATACAATAACTTCTACCGAAACAACACCTCAAACTTTTACTCCTGAAGACGGCAGTTCCAGTAAGGATTTATACAAAGATTTAACGTCAGATAATTTAAGTACAGATATATATTTTTCGCAAGATGATATTATTCTAGTTACCGATGAATTTTCTGTAACTCAACATGGAACTGTTGACCCCATTCAAACTTATATGGTAAATGAAATACCAAACAATAGCGCATTGCTTCAAAATAAAATAACAAATTCTGAACCGAGTGCGGAAGATCAATTTCAATTTACTTCGGAAGATGTATTTGTGCACAGAGGCCAGGTTTTTAAAGAGCTTACTGAGGCATTTATACATCGAAATTTAAACAAAAAACGTTTTAAAATGCGCATGATCTTACCAAATGGAAGTGAAGAAATGGGTGAAGATATAGGAGGAGTTTTTAGAGAAACGTTATCGGAGTACTGGAGTTCTTTTTTTGAACGATTTACAGTTGGTACTAATAATAAGGTACCATTAATAAGACACGACATGAATTCAAAAAAATGGAAAGCTGTCGCAGAAGTTCTTTATAATGGGTGGATTTTAGAAAAATATTTTCCATTGCAGTTGGCAAAATGTTTTCTTGAAATGTGTATTTTAGAAGAAGTCCGAAGTGATTTAACAGAGTGTTATTTAAATTTTATAAGTAATAATGAAAAAGAAGTCATAGAACGAGCATTGAATAATTTTGAGGATGTTGACAAAGACGAATTGCTTGAAGTAATGGAAAATATCGAATGCAAGTCAGTAGTAACAAAAAACAATTTTAGAAATATTATTTCAGAAATCGCTCATAAAGGAATTATTCAAAAACCAATGTTTATTATTGACTGTTGGTCTTGTATTCTAAAATACTTAATGGTGTATGAGAAGTTTAATAACTTATATTTAAAAAAACAGGTATTTTATAATTTTATAATTAATAAGGTTCGTTTTTATTATTTTTCACTCGGCAACGTCGCAGTGTTGGGGGTTTTGTTGGCAATTATTATTATTATATTATTAGCTCTTAAGTTGTAAAATTAAAATTATGTTTGTGTTTAAAAGTAGAGTAGTAACGCCATCAACCTATCCAGCTTACAGGCAAAGCCTATAAGGTTCGGTTCTTCAGCGGGACCTACTGTTTAACGTGGAATCCGAACCACGGTCCTCGATGAGTTATACTCATCTACCGACTTTCAACGCGCACAACACCCAAGGCTGTGACCGGGAATCGAACCCGCTACCTTTCGAGCGCAGTTTGTCTCGGCATAGCCGCCTAACCCACTGCGCCACCGAGGCCCCTGTTTGTGTTTATTAACTTAAAAAATATTTACCTTTTAATATGTCTTTGACCAAAAATGCATTTCGATATTTTACCGTAGAATAATTATTTATTCAGTTACGTTTTTTAAATTACATTAAACATTAATATTTTCCTCTGTTTAAATTTTCTAATCTACCAATATCAAGTTGACTTGTATTGCCGATGTTAGCGCCAACTATACTAATTTTATATTTTAATTTAGCTATAGGTTACTTCTAAAAATGTATTAGCATTGCTCACTGGAGACGACAATCTAATAGGAAATCAAAAAATAACATATGGCTTCTTAAAAAGATTTTTAAGAGAATCTTCACGAGAGATGTTGTAAAAGCTGTGTCTTTTAATGACACGACTGGTTTTGGAAAAACGCCTCAAGCACAAATCTCTTCGTTTTCTTTAAAAATACCAGAATATGAGAGTTATCCTAAACTTCGATCATAATTTAATAATATTCTTAAATCAGACATGTGGGTGATGGATTTTGTGTAAAAAGTTTAACAAAATTGTTCTCTAGTACCAACTTTTTAATTTTAACTTGCTTTTTTCAGAATGAATATTTACTTTTATTCAACACATCACAATCGACACAAGTTAAACTTTTTTCCTCTAAAAGTAAAATTTTAAGAAATGACATATTTAAATAAATTTAAATTTTTATTATATGTACCTACTTACCTGCATGTTAAAAATTCAACTTGCACCGTCCATAAAAAAATCCTATATTTGTAAGTTATTTTTTTATTTAAACTTTATGTTTAAGTATTTAAGTTAAGGATATATGTGTTTTTCTTTTTAAATCATTTTATGATATATTTTATATTATAATAAATTATTATTTATTTTTTTATTAATTCTTTTATTACATAAAAACAATTATAAACATGACACATAATAATACTATTGTTAATCCTGTAACAAAAAATCTAATTAAGTTTTTAAAAAAGTAAGTATTGATAGCTTCATCTACGGTTTTGGGTTTAATACTCATATAACGTTCTGAAAGCATAATTTGGCACATTTCGTAAACATCTTCATCACACGGTGCTTGAAGAAATTTACATTCTTCTAGGCACTCATTTATAATTCCAATCTCAGCTTCAACTAAATGATTTTCTGCATTATAAATTTCAGGAAACTTGAACATAATTAAGGGCCTACCACTTGAAGATGTTGTATTTCTAGACTTTCTTATTTTGTGCGAGTCCCATTCTTCCACAATTTGAACCCGTTCTTTCTGTAAAATTGAAAAAAAAATATTCCAGTTATTTTTAATAATTTCCTTACCTGTATTATTTGCAAAAAGCAAAACCTAATCAACGATTTGTCCACAAAACTACCAGTAAATTTACTATCTTTTTTTAATTTAAAAAAAAAATTCATCCAATACTGTGAGTTGTGTTTTCTTAAAATTGACCACTTTGACTCTATTCGCTGATTGGCTTGGCTTGTACCATAGATAAATGGTGGCAATGATGATAGCCTTAATGTACTTTGTTGGCGAAGAAAAATTTGCATTTTTTCAACTGCTCCATTTTCGGTTCCCATATCAGATCTTAAAGATAGCGGAAAACCTTTTAATAACTCCACGCTTTTCATGTAAAAACCCGCAATAACTTTTGGATCATTACACGTAGGTGAAGATTTTAACCAAATAATTTTGCGGGAAAATCCGTCGATACATCCACTAATTGAAATGCCATAGGGTTTCAATTTATCATAGTTAGGACCACGATTTGAGTATTGCCTTCTTTGTAACCTTCTTCGAGTTCTGCAAGCTACTCCTTCGGGATCGACTAACTTAAGTAACTGACGCACAGTTTTCTGTTTAACACGTAGACCAGATTGAATACAGCGCAGATGCATCCATTTGTATCCATGAAGATTCCCAGATGTTTGAATTTGCTTGTAAATAAAATCAATGATGTCATTAACATTGGAGTAATTTTTCCTTCGAAATAGTTCCAATTTTTGGAGACGCCGTTTTAACTGCCTTTCACTGATTTGAACGTGATGGTTGGACAAAAACAATCTAATTTCCAAGTGTTGAAAACCAAGAAGAAAGTAGAACGTAATTAAATTATCGATTTTATCCATTTTTTGGGATACTTAGAGCGATAAAACACAAGCCCAGCACATCTAAGAACCTTTTGCAAACGTTTATTATATGATATGTTTTAATATTTGTTTAAGATGAAACTTTCTATTACTTGGAAATTTCCAAATAATATCTGGAAATTTCCAATTAATAAGTGGAAATTTCCAGATATTATTTGGAAATTTCCAAATATTATCTGGGAATTTTCACTTATTACTTGGAAATTTCCAAATAATATCTGGAAATTTCCACTTATTAATTGGAAATTTCCAAATATTATCTGGAAATTTTCACTTGATAATTGGAATTTCGAGATATTATTTGGAAATATAACTGGAAATCCTATTATTAAAAATTATTTAACATGGCTCTTCAGCGCTTCCGTAGGGTATACCTATAGACATTTAACATTTAATTTTGTTTGTAGAATTTAACAGTTGCAGTTAGCTACAAAAATATTATATTTTGTTTTGTTAGATACAGGGTTTACTCGGGGTGTTTACTCAATAAATTGTTACGTGTTTAAATCTGGTTAGTGCTTATTTTATTCGTTTCCTTTGCGGTGTTTCCTGTTTAGTATTTTTGTTAACATCAAACATTCAGTACTTTAGTAGTACGTTGCCCACCCAATTTGTTGTATGAGGTTTCTTAGTTTGTTAGTATCATTACCTTATTGGATCTTAAAACTAAGTGGCGCCTGGGTATTTTTGATTTTATTTATCCCACCCCTTCTTCACTGTAGCTACAGGGGCTAGGGTCCAATAAGTCGCTGAGGGTTTATTATACCGTTAGGGCATCGTACTACGAGTAGCGTCACAAACGTCTGATGAATTGAGACAGATGTTCGGTGTTGGCATCTCTTCCATGCAGTTTCTGTCGGATTTCTGGACAAGAAATTTGGCAACTCGTTGGTTTTGCCTGGTACATGTTCCACTTTGAAGGTCAATTCTTTTGGTAACAAGGACCATCTTGTCAGCTTCGGTCGGTCATCTCGATATAACCATATCAGTGCACGGTTGTCAGTCTTTAAGATAAATGGTTAATCTTCCAGATACGGCCTGTATCTCTTGATCGCCCACACCATTGCTAAACATTCTTTTTCGTTGACATGGTAGTTCTTCTCATTCTGGTGGTATTTGGCAGAGCTGTAATGAATGATGTGCTTCTTTTCTTCACCATCCATCTGCATTAGCACGGCTCCCATGCCAGCGTCTGAGGCATCTACTTGGAGTATGAATTTCCAGGCAGGATTCGGTCGTTCTAGCTTATGCGGTTTGGGGTTTCGTAAATGCACCATCTACTTGGTATCCCAGATATTTCAGCGTAGTCGTGGTAATTCGGCACTTCTTTGGATTCAACCGCAGTTTATGTGCTTCCAGGCGTTCCAAAACTAGCCTGAGATGACCAACATGCTCTTCGATGCTATTGAAGTAGATAATAACATCATCAAGGTAGACTTTGACGAATTTGTTCAGCATTCCGGCAAAGATGTCCAACATAGCCCGCTGAAATGTAGTCGGGGCCAGCTTCAAACCAAACGGCATGGCAGTAAATTGGTATTGTGCTCCATCAGGTGTGAAGAAAGCTGTATAAGCGCGTGACTTCTTATCCACTGAAAGCTGCCAATGTCCACTTCTAAGATCCAAAGCGGAAAAAACTTTGGCAGTTCCTAAGTCACGGTCAACTATTGGTGGCAATACACTGCAAACATCTTTGGTTCTTTTGTTCAGTTCTCTGTAGTCGACGCAGAATCGCCATCCGCCTTCCTTCTTGACTAGAAGTACTGGTGAATCGTATGGAGATTAACATGGTTCAATAATGCCCCCTCGGAGCATAGCTTCCACTTGTTTATCGATCTCCAACGCCTTATCCGGCGTATACTTTGGTGGTCGGTTTTTGAAGGGTGCCTTGTCCGTCAGTTCGATTTGATGGGGCACTAACAAGTTGGACGGTGGTTCTATATTTTGGTCGAATGTATCTACAAAGTGTATCAGTAGGTGTTCCAAATCTTCACGGCATGGCTGGGAAATTTCATCAGACAATTCGGGTAATTCGGTTCCCGAAACGGTGCAGGTCCCCAAAATACCGTCTGACGTTTTTCACTTCCAAGGTACATGCAACCCCTTGCGACATCTAGGAGTGTATGATTTTCAGCTAAGAAGTCCATACCGAGTAAAACCGGAATGAGTAAGTCCTTCATCACAAGCATGTTGCATTCGTACGCGTTGTTTACGCTTGACCCATATATTATAAATTGTCTTTTTAACAAGTGCATAATATTTACAAGTAAAAGCAATTATCAAGAAAAGGGGGAGTCAATTCTGTTATGACATCTGGAAGATATCAGCCGTCAAGTGGCAGCAACGCCCTTCCTTTTTTGGTGTATTTTCTACCTAGATTTAGCATTTTTCAACATTAAGAATTTAAGCTTAGTCATATACACAACCATGTTAAAATAAAGTTTTGGTTTTTGTTAAACCATGTTTTAATCGCGCAACAACATAATCAACGCAACGAACATTATGGTCCTCGAAACCGGATAGTGTAAAATCTAAGTGAAAATAAAAAACAAGTGATTATTCGCATAATTAAAATTCAAATCATCAATCATTGAAAAGTTTTGTGCGTGTAACAAGGACAAGGGTTTAAAAATAGTGACAAAACAAGCATCTCTAGAAATCAAGACATTAAACGCAATTACTCATCAGCAAAGGATTATTACTCTAACTACATTTTACAACTGGACCCTAGGAGCACGAAGACCAAAGTCAACAGTAGACAACTACATTAAAAATCATCAGGTGAGGTCGTTCCTCTCATACATTCATTAGTGCTAATTTGTTGTAGCTCCAATTTGGATTTTTTAACGGAAAGTTTTCTAGAGCTAAGGTTTTGCAATGAAATCTTATTAAATCATAATCATATGCAACATTAACAAATGTCAGTTCTTACATCATTTTCTTTAGAAGAATTAAAAAGAAAACGTGGCGCCCTTAAGGCTTAAGTCACGAATTTTGTAAAACATTTATCAAGCATCCAAGAAATGAATGATCATCTCGCTGACGTAGACATTCTAACCTTGCAGGAACGTTTAAATCATTCAAAAAATATAATTTTCGAGTTTGAAAACATACAGGGTTTAATTGAAGACAAAACAACCGACGAAAGTTTATTGCAAATCGAATATGAAGAGCGAGATACGAATCTAATTTTCAAAACATATTATAAAAGAATCTACCTTATCTTTAGACAATGAGTCCGGAACTAATTTATTTACGAGCAACCCTTTACATAGCCCTCATGAAAACAATACTTTTAAGTTTGCAGGCATAAAAGTAAAACCCATTGAAATTCCCAAATTTAACGGTTTTTACCAAAATTGGTTAGAAATTGGGGATTTATTTGAATCGTTAGCGCATAAAAATGAGGCCTTGGATAACATTCAAAAATTTCATTACTTAAGATCATCTTTGGAAGCTGGTGCCGCACAAGTTGTCCGTTCAATTGAATTCACAAGCAGCAACTACATTGTAGCTTGGGATCTTATTCGCGAAAGGTATGACAACAAACGCCTTTCAGTACTAAATCATGTAAAATCACTTTTTAACGTAGAACCAATGCATAAAGAATCATCATACAAATTACGAAATTTAATCGACACTTACTCTAAACATCTACATTCCCTAAAACAAATGGGCCAACAAACCGATCACTGGGACGTATTACTTATTCACATTATAACAACCAAACTAGATTCATCCACTTTACGCGAATGGAAAAACGCCAAGTCAAACGCTAATAAAGAGGTACCTACATTTTATGATCTTAAAACATTTTTAAAGTCTTGCGCAGATTTATTAGAAACTTTAGAAAATAATCAAGTAGACAAAAGGTCTCATTACCATAGTTCATACAATAATAATTTAAGAGGGGCATTTAATCACACACGCAGTCATTATTCATCTCACCATGCATCAAATTCACATTTAAATTCAAATACACCCTGTAAATCAAAACAAGAATTTTAACAAAGCGCCTCAAGACTTGGTTTGTCCCATATGCAAAAATTCCCATATAATATACAACTGCACGGATTTTATGAATTCATATCCGAGTGAAAGATGCGAAAAGGCAAAAAATGCGCATTTATGCGTTAATTGTTTGAAACTTAGCCACGACAGCAGAAATTGTCGTCATATTATTTCTTGTAAGACATGTAACGGGCGGCATCACGACTCCGCGGGTAGATTTGTAGTAGCCCTTCCTTTTAATGAACCCCCCGAAAAATTAGGTGATTCCTATCATAAAGCACTAAAACGATTTATGTCACGTAGGGGAAAACCCCGACAAATTTTCTCGGACAATGGTAAGAATTTTGTCTCTGCAAGTGCGGATTTTAAAGAACTTTCATTTCTTAAACTAAATCTAGTCTAGTCTTGTTAATTCATTGTCTAAAGACGAGATAGAATGGAAATTCTCACCTCCTTATTCGCCACATTTTGGTGGTCTTTAAGAGGCAGGAGTTAAATTAATTAAATATCATCTCAAAAGAGTTATATCAAATGCACACCTTACTTATAAAGAATTCTATTCGTTATTAACCCAAATTGAGGCAATAATAAATTCGCGCCCATTGACGCCGCTGTCAGCCAATCCCAATGATTACACAGCTTTAACCCCAGCTCATTTTCTTATTGGTCGTCCAATAACCACAACAGGCGAAAAACGATTCCTCGGGCCGACCCTGTTCAAGCTATATACGACGAACTTACCGCGCACTCCGGGAGTGGAGATTGCTTTGTATGCTGAGGACACGGCCCTGTATTGTACGAGTCGTAACAAAGATAGAATTAGGGCCAAACTGCAACAAGCACTGGATGATGAGGCCCACATGCCAGACTTTATCGAATGCTTTACAAATGTCCAGCAATGCCATACCCGTTTTCTGCTTTAGGTCAAAACCGTGGGTGATGTGCTCCACGATTTTTACCACTTGCAG